AATAATTATCAATGGGCAACTGGGCCATGTTCTTAACAAAAGTATTCAGATGGCCATAAATCATAGCATCAAAACAAATAGACTAAAGGGATGCTCTGGAGAGGAATCTACCAGCTGTTTTCCTGAGGTTTTGGGAGAAAACTGTTGCCTAATAATATTTCTAAAGTTTAAATGAGGGTCTTATGGAGTTGGCAGAGTTTTTTCTTTTGGTACTAAAAAAATGGCTCCTATTAATTACATTTATTTATTGAATATATATAAGTAATTTATTACATAAGCACAAACATATTTTTTCAGTTACAGAGCATTTATTTCTCTGTACCAAGCATAGCTCTTTGTCAAATCTTTTACTTCTAAATGAGAATATTAAAATTTTCAGTAAGGACTTTTAATAAGTAAGGATTTGACTTATTGCTAACTTATTTCTAACTTTGACTTATGGAAAATTTGCCATATCATTTTCTTTTCCCCCTTTCCATGTGTTTTTCTTCCTTGTGTACATGTTTTCCAACTAAAAATTAAATAGGTTATTGGTTAATGTATGGTTAGCATCATACTACATAATATATATTTGAATCTATATTGTGTCTGTTATTTTGAAAAGCCATTTCAGGGAAAAATGCAATTAAACCCAATTAAACTTCTTTTTAAACAAACAAAAACTTTGGTCTGTTTCTCTCAGGCATGAATTTTCGTTATAGTATCCTAATAGACCTTACATGGTACATGGGATTAATTGGACAAAGAGAGTTTTGAAAACCTCTCCCAATTAGAGTCTTGGAGCACATGGGTAGTAATGTGTGGACAGAGAGGAGAAGGGGAGCCATTATTTATGGCTCTTGAATATTAGTTTCAAAATGGCCTTAGCGATCTTCTGGTCCAGTTGATTAATTCAGTTGCTTAAAATGTGGTACTCTCAGAACTAGGACCAGTTCCACAGTACTCAAGAAAAATTTCCTCTGTGGCAACACTTTTCTATCACCTGTACCAATTTTTTAAAAGTTTTAAAAGTTTATGTTGATTGTAGGGGTTCGGGAGAAGAGTTTGATTAGTTACTGTCAACTCACCACTTCTATTGGAAAAACAACTGCTTTGGCAGTGGTAAATTAGCGAAGGGTAGCATGAGTCTTTTAAAAGTCAAATTTAACAGACATTTGTTAAGTAGATATTATTTGGCTCAACAGTAGTGTCAGGCATTACAGAGATGAATAATGATTTTGGTTGCTGACTTCGAGGGGGTCTGTCTAGTGGAGGAGTCTGAGAGGGAAATGACTTACCTACTGACCTGTTCATTGCAACAAGATCATGGAAGAGAGCCAAGGGAGATGTTCTGAAAGAGCTAACATCTGGGCTGGATTTTTACAGATGAAAAAAGTGTTTAATAATTTTGCCTGAATTAATATGTGAGAATGCATATGCATATAATAGAACATGAGAATTTAAAAAATAAATGTTAATTATCCCATTTTATTGTCACCTAAAGATTTTAATGACTTTTTAAAGGTGAATATTCCTTCAGTAGCTTCTGAAACTTGGCCTTTTATGACATAGAGCTTAAGGATGATCTGATTCTTGAACAATCAAGAGGAAGAGTTAATTTAAGGGTTTAGAATGCTTAGCTATCATAAACTTAATGCAGTGAGAGAAGAGACTCTCAACGAAGAAGTGTGCAAGTGACAGAAGGTGATCCCTCCCAAACATGGTTCTACTAGTTTTAAAAAGAATTGCTTTATATCTGATGTACTATCCCTAGTGGCTAAAATGTTTCTAAGTTTTAACTTCTGTTTCTTGTTTTGAACTAAGAAACTCATCATTCTGATCATAAAATACCCAAATTAATAACTTCCCCTAATTTGACTTTCTTCAGATTAGAACTGTAAGTTTTTATTTACATGGCTACTGATTTTCTAGCCTGTTTATTGTGTGTAAAAAGTTCCTATTGTTTGCTTCTAATTAAGAACTCAGTGCTTTACAGACATTGTTCATTATTGTTGATGAAATTATTACATTTAAAAATAATTATATGAATTGGTAAACAGTTTCTTATAAAATCACACTTCTATGGAATATTAGTACATAGCAGGCCATTTTCTTTAAATGGTGGGGAAAAAAATCCAAAGACATTCAACGATAAGATGTGCACACTAACGGCTGTTTCCGATAATAGGAGCAATTTGCATTCAGAATAGAGAAAATGAATTATACAAAAGGGTATATAGAGGAACAGCTATAACTTCTCTGGCATGTGCAGCAGCCCACAAAATAAACTTCCTTCCAATGACATTGGCATGATTAATCCCAAGCAACCTGGACACTGAAATTGCTGTTCTGAAAAGGGGCTTTGCAGCCTGGAAATGTCATGAGTGTAACACTAGCCTTCTTGCTAAAGTGGGGTGGGGGCTGCTCAGTGCATTTAGTGAGACTCTCTCCTTTCTCCCCCAACCCCCAATGTTCACAGTATTTGAATATTCATGATGGGTTGACAGGTGGTCACTGAATGCAAGACTGAAGCCATTCTGGATCCTTTCACTTTTTCATTTTTCTATTAGAGAAACTTACAAGGTCATGTGAGATGCCTCGTTCTTGATTTACTTCTTCTGATATCAGTTTGGGACAATTTTCCTAAGGTGGGCTTCAGTTTACCTTTTTGTAACCATATTTTTGCTTGTGGAATGTCTAACCAATTTCCAGGTATATTATCAACATCATGTCTGTAATAAAAATGCCTCGCGCTTCTGTTTCCTTACATACAGTCTCCTGGCATGTCGACAGCCATGCCTTCAGTTGTGTAGATGGTGTTTCCTCTTCTTTAAAGGGAGAAAAAACGTAGGCTGTCTAGAGAATATTCAATCCAGGGCTGTGGACCTGAGTCTTCTGACCCAAATCTAGGGCTCTCTGCTTGCTGCATCCTGTTTATTTTCTTCCAAAAGGCTACATAGCAATTGGGTGTTTTAGGGTTAGATTTCCTGCCCGGCTTGAGTCACTTACTGAGAACTTATGTGCACCAGGTCCTGTGCTGCATCTTATACACACATCATTGTGCTTATCCATTCAGGATGCTTTAACAAAGTACCATCCACTGGATGGCTTATAAACAACACAAGTGGACTTCTCACAGTTCTGGAGACTGAAAGTCCCAGATCAGAGTGCCACAATGGTAGGATTCTGGTGGGAGCCCTCCTCAGAGTTGCAGACTGCTGTCTTCTCACCATCTCCTCACATAGAGGAAGGGGCAAGAGAGCTCTCTTGGGTGCTAATCCTATTCATGAGGTTTCCACCTTCATGACCTAATCACCTTCAAAATTCCTACTTCCTGATAGGATTTCAATTTATGAGATTTAGAGGAATACAAACATTCAGTCCGTAACAGTCACCCTGTTTAGTCTTCACATTGTCTAGAAGAGGAACCCAGAGATTTGAGGTGAAATAATTTTGCAGAGGTAGCTCACATAGTCTGAGGAGGATCATGGATTGGCACCCAAGTATGCTGGGCTGCTGTCACCTGAGCCCTTGACACTCTGTCTGCTTGAGGTGAATGTGCCTTCTGTCCTTGAGAAGTGAAAGGAAATTAGCAGAAAGAGCTTTCAAAATATGGTCATAAGGAACTCTGTTCAGTGTCAAGGCACTGATTCAGGCTGTTAACTTTTCGGGAGGATAAAAGGAAAAGAGATAGTAATACTTTGTGGTCTAGAAAGATCTTGTGAAGAAATTAGAATTTGAATTTGCAGAGGATACTGAGTAGCTTCAAGGTGTGGTAGAAGGGACAGAAAGAGAACTAGGCACTGGTGGGAAATGCTGGGCGCATTTGGGGGAAATGCATTGGAATGAAGCAGAGGGGTTTTGGTAGGTGACAAAGGGACAGGTAAGCTGGGGCTGCTGAAGAGGACCCAGGGCATCAGTGTGTGTGGCCTTGGTATTTGGCATGTACGTGTTTACTTCATGATACCACCAAAATGTAGTCTTAACTAGAATGGTTTCAGTTGGCTTGTGATTGATTTTCATTTAATTGAAAGTTTAGTGGAATGAAATCCTGTTTAGCTTCTTAGGGTCTCTCATTCCCCAAGAGCTTGTCTAATAGTCTTGCTTCCTTTTAACTCCATGAGAAATAAAAGCCTGATTGTTTCTTTTGTATTCTTATGATGTGATTAGATCTTAAGTGTTTACATGTATGTTGGTATTTCAGTAAACATTCCTTTTGGGTGGGTGAAGGAGGGAGGTTATGTGTCATAGAGATACGCTGGTTTTGGGATTTTCTAAGGAAAGCAGATGGCATAGAAGTCAGAACATCTCTAGGCCAGGCACGGTGGCTCATGCCTGTAATCCTAACACTTTGGGAGGCCGAGGCAGACGGATCACCTGAGGTTGGGAGTTCGAGACCAGCCTGAACAATATGGAGAAACCGCGTCTCTACTAAAAATACAGAATTAGCTTGTGTGGTGGCGCATGCCTGTAATTCCAGCTACTTGGGAGGCTGAGACAGGAGAATCGTTTGAACCGGGGAGGGGCAGGTTGCGGTGAGCCGAGGTTGCACCATTGCGCTCCAGCCTGGGCAACAAGAGCGAAACTCTGTCTCACAAAATAAATAAATAAAAATAAAAAAGAAGTCAGGACATCTCAGACAAGTCAGGAGTTAAGGTGGAGAGTGATTTGCATCAAACACTAGACATAGATAATACCCTTGTTAGGAAGCTTACAGTTCTTTTCAAACTTTGGGTTATAGGGAGCAATCATCAGTTTCCCTAAAGCTTTAGGGCAGGGTAATAACAAGTGAAGTTCACTCATTAATAATCATGGTTGACTGTGATGAGCTATTCTCCACCAAGATTTGAATAAATGAATTACATATCTGCTTTACATAAGAGAAATTATTGTTACAGTTTCTGGAGAAGAAATAAAGGATAGATCAGAGACTCAACTGGGGGTTTGTTTTGGCAAGGGGCTATGAAAATTGGGTGTGATCTAGACGGTAGAATGGGATTTTTTTTTTTTTTTAAAAAAAGAAGAATGTCTTTTTGTCTATTCTCATCTTACCTATTTTCTTTCTTAATGTTGCAGTGTGCAAAGATCCACCTTACAAAGTAGAAGAATCTGGGTATGCTGGTTTCATTTTGCCAATTGAGGTTTATTTTAAAAACAAGGTATGTAATCTTTACCCATTAATCTTTCAGTAGAAGATCCACCATTAGCCAAATGATGTTTAAAATAATTTTGACTCATAAGCACTTCTGTCACTAGATGATATTAAAATAAAAGTTAAATTTGTCTTCTAGGAATTTTGGCTATCATTACCCTTAATTATCAAGGAAGTGGCTAGAAGAAGATAATTTTAATTAAATGAAGTCAGATTATATGAAATTCATTAAGTGTTCCTTTAAAGAGAGGAGTGATTACCATATGGAAAAGATAAATATGTTTGTAAAATAGAAAAGAAGAATTATAGTTTTTCAGTAAAATGCTTCTTTTCTCATTTTCATATCTGTAGAATTTTTTTGAGGCTTGCAAAGAATAACCTCATTTTATCTTTAGCTGATACCCACACCATACATGTATATAGTTATTTCAACTTCAGATATATGGATTTTACTGAATTTAAAAGTTTTCAGGCCAGGCGCAGTAGCTCACACCTGTAATCCCAGCACTTTGGGAGGCCGAGGCAGGCAGATCACTTGAGGTCAGGAGTTCGAGACCAGCCTGGCCAACATGGTGAAACCCCGTCTCTACTAAAAATACAAAAATTAGCTGGGTGTGGTGGTGGACACCTGTAATTCCAGCTACACAGGGGGCTGAGGCAAGAGAATCACTTGAACCTGGGAGGCGGAGATGGCAGTGAGCCGAGATCACACCACTGCACCCAGCCTGGGTGACAGAGTGAGGCTCCATCTCAAAAAAAAAAAATTTTTCAGCACTACATATGTGGCATAACACACAGATTGTATAATGCCAGACAAATTGCTCAACCTCTGTGGAGCTTACTTTCCTTATTTATGAAATGAGGAGATAAGAGTACTTACCTCAAAAGGTGGTTAGTAGGATTAGATAAAATAAACTTCTGCAAAGTATTTAGAATAGTACCTTATAGATAAGCACTTAAAATGCTAATTATAATATTCCTTATTTTTCCTCCAGAGATATCATAATTTCTAAAACCTGTTGAAAAGTCAGGTAATTGGCTTTTTTTTTCTTTTAAGGAACTGAGCAAATAGAATATCATGTTATCCAAACCAGTGCTCAGTAAAATATGGTCCTTGGGATAGCATTAGCATTACCCTAAGAACGGGTTAGAAATGAGATTCTCAGATTCAACCCAAATCTATCAAATCAGAATCTCTGGAGGTAGGGCCTAGGACTCTGCATATTTACTAGTCCTTCTGATGCTTAGTAAGAGAACCACTGATAAGCCACTCTTTAATGTGCAGTCCCTTCCACTGGAACAGTGTCACACTGGCTTTTTCAACTTATAGCAGTCTCAGTGCTCAGTTCAGCAGTTAGAAAGTGTTAAAACCAGATTCATGATCTAGGTCTTTCTCTCCATTGGCTATACTCCTAACTTCTGTGCTATCTAGCAATAACTCTTTGCTAGAAGAATAATTATCTTTCTTAGTGGTGATACCACTGAATCGTTCACATATTTGTCATCAAATTAAATTGTTGAGATGTATTTATATCTGCTCATGTGATATGCCTTCATATTGAAGTGCTCATTTTTCTCATTTCAAGTTCTGTTTCCCTTAAGAAAATGGTTTTTGGCTTTCTTTTATTTCTTCTCTTTTTCCTTCACCACCAATTTCTCCAATACTTGTTACTTGTTATTGTATATTATAGTCATCCTAGTAGATGTGAAGTACACCTCATTTTGGTTTTATATGCATTTCTTTGATGACTTACAAGTTCGAACATCTTTTCATATGCTCATTGTTCATTTGTATTTTTTTTTGGAGAAGTGACTATTCATATCCTTTGCTCATTTTTCAGTGTAATTTTAATTTAAGTGGTATGTTTATGGGAAGAAATTTAGAGCCTGTCTCTATCTCCCATCTTTCCCACTACCCTTTTAATATCTTAGAAGTTTAAGTGATGAAGATCATATGGTGCTTTTCTTCCCTCTTGTCACATCCTCATATCCAGTGTTGTATTTCATCTAGAGATTGGGCTACATTATAGGAACAATCTAGCCCTTCAAGCCAGCAAAGTTCTTATCTCAAAGAAATTAAAGAATAGGCAATTATGATCTGTTATGAGAAGACAATAATAGTTATGATTATACCACTGCCTTCCCACCAGCAAAGTTAGTTTGACATTGCATTGACCTCAGTTTGGAAATAATGATGCAGTGAAATATCTTCTCTCTTTTCTTGTTTTTAACGTTTCTGGTCATTTGTACAAGCTCTGAGTTAAGCAGAGGAATCTATTTTATGAATTGCTCAGTTTTCTGCTTTACAAAAATAACTGGAATTTCCCCATATGCCAGATTTAAGAAGAGAACAAGTAAAGGATGAAGAGGCAGCAAGTATCACTCCCTACCACGCGCGCACGCACACACACGCATGCGCATGTGCGCGCACACACACACACACACATTCAGTCTTCTTGAAATTCATGGAACAGAGTAAAAGCAAGATATAATGAAGGCACATTGGGTAGTCATTATGACTGTAAGACATATATTCACTTTGTGGGGGATTTTATTTTCTTAAAATATAAGGGAAGAAAGCAGCATATGAGATGAAAAACAGCTCTTCCTTTGTGGCCATTGTAAAATAGACACAGGTGGAACATTGTAGATTTTCTCTTTAGTATATAGATTAGCTTATTTCTATTTTCTAGTTTTAGGCTTTCTTTAAAATTTCATACTTTATAATGATTTCTGTTTTCACATGTACACAATAATACATATATATTTCAGTGTTTGTAATATGGAAAAGTAGGATACACCTAATTGGCCCTATGTAGAGATGAGGATCAGTAAATGGTAATTAAGTAATCCTTAGAATTCTGCACAGTATTTAGTGTGGCAACATGAGTAAGTCTCAAAAAATGATGACTTAAAAGTTGCAGAAATATATGTACATGGTTATATCATTTGTGTATTTTTTAAAGAAATTACTAAAATGAATAATGGTGTTCTGGAGAGGTATGTATTTAGTATAAGAGCATATGCTGGAATGACAACACAGGAACTTAAGGGCATTAGTTACTGGAGGAGAGGAATGGAGAAGTTTACACATATGAAGTTCTTTTGTTTTGTTTTGTTTTGTTTTGTTTTGATGGGGTTTCACTCTGTCACCAAGACTGGAGTGCAGTGGTGCAATCTCAGCTCACTGCAACCTCCGCTTCCTGAGATCAAGTGATCCTTCTACCTCAGCTTCCCAAGTAGCTGGGACCACAGGCATGCACCACTACACCCAGCTAATTTTTGTATTGTTTGTAGAGACAGAGTTTTACCATGTTGCCCAGGCTGGTTTCGAGCTCCTGAGCTCAAGCGATCTGCCCACCTCTGCCTCCCAAAGTGCTAGGATTACAGGTGTGAGCCACCCCGACTGGCCAAATTTTATTTCTTTGAAGAAAAAGATAAAGCAAATCTCTGGAAGTGTTATCTGTTTAATCTCAGTAGAGGGCACATGGATATAGCATTTTAAGTACTTTTCTATATGTTACTAATTTCTTAGTTAAGAAAGGAATTACTGCTTTGCCACTGTGTCGTTTTCTTAGGATGTCTTAGAAACTAAATGTTTACTATAGTCTGATCTAGATCTCTGAGCTAGATATATTTGTTTCTTTATTTTTTCTAATTTTAACTTGTAAGAGCACCTAATGTGAGATCTAACTTCTTAAATTTTAAGTGTATTAAGTGTACAATACCTTATTGTTGACTATAGTTACAATGTACAGCAGATCTCTAGAGCTTATTCATCTTACTTAATTGAAACTTAATGCCTGTTGATTGACAATTCATTTTCCCCTCTCCCCAGCCCATGGTAACCACCATTTCAGTCTTTGATTTTATGAATTTAAAATCTTACATAATATCTGTTTTAGATATCTCATATAAATGGACTCAGACAGTACTCGTCTTTCTGCGTCTGGCTTATTCCCCAAGGTCCAGCAGGATGTATTTTTTATTTTTCGTATTACTGAAATGATCCATTGGTAAAAATTTAATAGGTCTAGGCTCTTGCTTCAGAGTGTTCATTTATTTATTTTGTATATTTATTATTTTATTTATCCCTGGAGTTTATTCAACTCTGTCTTGAAGAATAAACATCCATTGTAGTAATGATGTATTAGTCCCTTCTTACATTGTTATGAACACCTGAGACTGGGTAATTTATAAAGGAAATAGGTTTAATTGATTCACAGTTCTGCATGGCTGGGAAGGCCTCAAGAAACTTATAATCCTAGCATAAGGGGAAGCAAACATGTCCTTCTTTACAAGGCAGCAGGAGAGAAAAATGCAGAGCAAAGTGGGGAAAAGCCTCTTATAAAACCGTCAGATCTTGTGAGAACTCACTCACTATCATAAGAACAGCATGAGAGAACACCCCCATAATCTAATTGCCTCCCAAGACACATGGGGATTATGGGAACCACAATTCAAGATGAGATTTGGGTGGGGGCACAGCCAAACCATATTAAATGGTTCATGAAAAAGTGTTGTTCAGAATTTTCATAGGAATGAGGGAAAGCAGAAAAAAAATAATTCCAGGCAATGGTGGAAGAGTCTTAATTCTACATATTAAAGATACCCTGTCCTTGGTCACATTCCCATCCTTGTGTTTTTCCTCCTTCTGTAATGAGCTCGTCTTCAATTCTGCTCATTTATTTGGGCTGTCAGGGTCAAGGGGGTAGTAGAGTGTCAGTACGTCTCTTGAGTTTGTATATGTTAATTCTGTCTTATTTTGTATTTATGTCCAACAAAACAAGCCCATTTGTGAGAATTGTGTGTTTCAGAAACTCTAAACCAACAGGGACACTGAAACATAATCGATTTATGTTTGAAAGGATCCCATGCTTCTCTCTTTCAATATGATCTCATAAAAGAGAGAGTAAATGTCAAGGACTGAAGTTTCTGCAGAATGAGAGAGGGTAACTTGATATTGCCAAAAACAGATTTCCACCTCTAGGAAATTTATTATTTTTATACAGAGAGTAAGCACATGCTTTCTTATTTGAACTTTGAAGAAGAATGTTTTCTGAGGAGCATAGACTGACATAATATCGATGTCTGCCTTCTAAGAGAAGATATTCAGTTGGCCAGAGCACAAGTTTATGAGTACTTTTTTCTTACTTAAAAAAAAAAAATCTTAAAAAAAAATCATACTCAGGATTCGGAGAGTCATCTTCTGTGGTGCTTACCGTTGGTTTTATTGAAAAGTGATGTTTTTGTTCTGTTTTAGACTGTTGTAGACTATAAAGTGATGTTGATATTACCTCATTCTTTTTATGCTGGTAATTAATGTATTCTTCAATATGTTTTTCTCTTTCAGAAAGTGTACAGGAGTATGTATTTTCTTAGTAAAAGTATATGGAATAGAACTTAGGAGTTTTAGTCCTTTGACTACATTTAATGATTAACTATTTGGTACAGTCTTCCCAGATTTCCCTCTATGTATTTGCATAGATAAAATGTGTGTCAGCATAGATTGGCGGGGGCATGATTTAATATTTTTTTGTGACTTGCCTTTAATTCAGTTAGCAATATGCTTTTATATTTATTTATTTATTTATTATTATTATTATACTTTAAGTTCTAGGGTACATGTGCATAACATGCAGGTTTGTTACATATGTATACTTGTGCTATGTTGGTGTGCTGCACCCATCAACTCGTCAGCACCCATCAACTCGTCATTTACATCAGGTATAACTCCCAGTGCAATCCTTCCCCCCTCCCCCCTCCCCATGATAGGCCCCAGTGTCTGATGTTCCCCTTCCCGAGTCCAATATACCTTTCAAAGTCAGTATTTTTAAACACCTGAATGGTGTTATATGGTAATGATGAAGATAATTCTTAGTTTCTTGTTATTATAAGCAATGCTACCATGAACATTTTAGAGTATATTTTTGTACCTATATTTGAATATTTCTATGGAAGAGATTCTTAGAGGTAGAATTACTGGGTCAAACATCATATGTATTTAGTATGTTGACAGATATTGTCAAGATGTCTACCAAAAAGGCTTTACTAGTTTATGCTCCCAGTTACGCTCTCCTTTTAAAATTAACTCTAAAGTTGCATCTTCTGTTTTACAACTTGGAAGAGAGACAGATAAATAAAAAATGATCATAACTAAATGTGATAATTGCTTTAATAGAGGAATGCTATGAAGGACGTCTAATTCCGATTATATTGAGAGAGTGAGAAAGACTTTCCAGAGGAATTAATGCTTTAGCTGGGTCTTGAATAATGAGTTTGCATTAACTAGGCAATAGGAGGGGAGCTATGCTGGGAGAGAGGACATTTTAGGTTTGAGGAGCACTACTTGTGAAAGGCCAAATGAATGAATTAATGTGAAGTATTGGGGAACTGCAGATGCTTCAAAGGTGTGGGAAAACAGTATAGTAAGATATCAAAAGAAATGTAGGAAAGGTAGTAAGAGACTGCAATGGTTATTCCAAGGAAGTGGGATTTTATTGCAGAAAATGATGAACCATTAAAGGCTTTTATATCAGTGGAAAGCTGTAATCTGGTTTTTGTGTTAGAAAGCTCATTCTCTGGTCATTGTGGGAAGTAGAATGAGGTAAGTTCAAAATCAGGGAGGACATCAAATGAAGAATGGTGGTGGTCTAAGCTAGGACAATATTTATGCCTTAGAGGAAAGGATAGGTGGATTTGAAAGTTCATAAGGACGAATGCTAAATAGAACTTAGAGAAAATTTGACTGTAGTGAGTGAGGAAGAAGGAACAGTTGGGAATGGTTTTTGTGTATTTTAACCTTGGCAAGCAGTTAGAATTGCTGTTTTCCAAGATAATAGAGGATAGCACAAAAGACACATATGCATGAATTGGATGCTGCCATAAGTCAACCTGTGGAACACATGTATGTGGCAGCCAATGAGAGCTGGGCTGGAGATACACTTAGGGGAGTCACTGTCACACAGGCGGAACTGACTCCTTGTGAATAGGTGTCATCTCCTTGGGAAACTTTGCAGAAAGGTAAAGCACATTTAAGGGTCAATGAAGAAAGAGAAGAAAGTCCATGAAGAATATTGAGAAGGAACAGCCAGTAAACTTTGAGGAAAACCAGGAGAGAATGGCATCCTGATAAGAGAGAGAAAAAGTAGGTTTCATGTCAGATTGTAGTGGAAGTGAAGGAGTACTGAAGAAATGAGTAGAGATTATGATTTGGGAAGTTTGGATGAGGAAGTGGAAACCATGAATTTTGAGTTGTTAATTCTTATATTCTGACAGTTTCAGGTGCTAAGACTCTTGAGTCAAAAGAAATGGATTCAAATCATTTTTGTTTCATCATGTATTAGTAATATAACAATAAAACAAGGCTCACATCTGCTCCAAAGAGAGCAGTGAGAATTAAATGAGATGAATATTAAAGTACGCATTAGTTGTCATTATTATCTTGAGTCTGTATTTTCACCTTGCGTGGCTAAAGATCAATGTGTAGAGAGGGATAAATGTTCGGTCAACTTAAGTAATGGCTTGAGAGTTGAACCTAGGTATCATGAAATTCTAATTATTGTGTTCTTTTGCATAAGATGCTATTTTGTCCTAGTTATTTATTCAGAAAAATGCCATTCTTATTAATCTCACAGATACTTACTGCATTTCTAGTGTGTATAGTCGTAAACTAGTTTTTGAGGATACAATGATGATTCAAACATTGTTCCTACTTTCAACAATCTTCTGATCCAGCAGAGTAAATGGTGATAATAAGAAGTCAATTATTCTAAGATGTGGCAAGGGTAAGAGAAAGATGCATACAGGGTAGAGGAGAGGCAGTGGGGAGCTGAGAGTTAAGGGAAGGTTTTCCAAAAGTGAAATCATAAGTTGGGAAGGATGAGAAGTTACGTAGGTAAAGCAGTAGGTAGAGAAATGGTGGTAGGCAGTGAAGGTAGTAATGCAAAGCAAGAATGAAACCAGAGGTAACCTACAACATGGTAGGTACTGGGAAGCAACCAGCAGTGGGATATTGCTAGGCCATCAGATGGAGAGAAGGGGAATGGTAGGATATGAAGCCAAGAGCCAGATTATGAAGGCCTTTATGTGGCATTCAGGTGAGATTAGGGTTTTTAGCCTAATGGCCATTGGAAACTGTTGAAATTTTAATTAGGAAGTGAAAATGGCTAGATTTTTGTTTCATACAGATAATCTTAAGGCCTGAATGGAGGTGGAATTGAAGAGAATATATCCCAAAGTAAAGAGTTTATAGTAGTTTGGGCCATGAGTAAGAGCCTAGTAGTAGGAGTTAGAGGGCTTGTTTGAAGAAATATTTATGGAGAAAATGGCAGCCTTTGATGGTGAGTGTAGTAGGGTAGGGAAGAGGAAGGAATGTGCTTGGTTTCTAGTTGGGTGGCTGTGTTGCTGGTATCCTGTCACCTAAAAGATCATGGGGAAGATGAGAAGTTTTTCTCATTTCGTTTCCCCTAACAAAAGAAACTAATTTGTCAGATATTTCCATTTTGTTTCATTGATGATTCCATGATACTTTTTTTCCCCCAGTACTGCTTTGACAGTTTAGATGTTAGATGTCTTAGGTCTTTTCTATTTCTTATGAGGAATAAATTTTGCTTTTAAAATTTCACTTATGCCTCTCTTTTGTCTTTCATAAATTTTGTTAACCTCCAGGAAGAACCTAGGAAAGTCCGCTTTGATTATGACTTATTCCTGCATCTTGAAGGCCATCCACCAGTGAATCACCTCCGCTGTGAAAAGCTAACTTTCAACAACCCCACAGAGGACTTTAGGAGAAAGTTGCTGAAGGCAGGAGGGGTAAGTGGCACTCTCTTGTGAAAAGCATTCCTATTAAAAAACAAAACAAACAAAAAAAACTAGTTCCTGATGTGTTAAAAAGTATAATAAGGTTTTGGGAGAGGTAAAAAGAGATGATGTAACTTGATGGCTTAGCTGTGGATTCATGTGTTCAGATGAAGAGGTAGACAATAATATTTTACATAGGTATAAGTTTGAAATTACACTATGTATTAAAACAGTCTTAAAATCTATGCAGCTCAAATTTAATTGTGACAAAATGCCAAAACAAATAAGCAATAAACTCTCCTCATTTAAGAAAAGAATAATATCTGGACTGTGTTGTATCAGTTATAGAAACTTTTGGGTTAAGTTGCAAGTCACATTAAAAATTATATAAAAAGAAATCCAAATTTTCTTGATCACAATTAATAGAAAAAGTATCTTCACTCATATTACATGTTTGAGTCATTTAAATACGCATTTTTGTTTGTTTGAATTTTGTGTCGATAAAAGATGGATTTTCCTTTTTAAAGTAATGGTAGCAAAAGTGTTGTAAATTTTTGCCCTTGTGATTTGACTAGTATGGGAAAGAATTTTAAGTGGTACCTCTTGCAAACATAAACATTTGGAATGTTTGCTTCTGAAGCTGGGTCAGCTGTACAAACACTATTGATTGGTCAAAATCTATTTGACAATGAGTGTCACTGGGATCATCAGCTCCTACTTCACATGAACTTACGTATCATATTATGTGGGCACTTCACACCCTGTCTATTTTGAAATGTGTCCTTTTCTCCAGGATCATCTTCACTTCACTTCCAGTTTCTCTGGAAGGTTTTTGCACAGTTTTCTATTTATGAAGTTATTTTCTATATGCATTTGTAGACCATAACCCACCAAGATGCCTTATATCACTGATAAACTCTACCTGAGGGCTTTGTAGGAAGGAGGTGGTTTTTTTGTGGCATAGTTTTCTTTATTGGATACATGAACAACCACTTCGAGAACCTAAGAAAAGCTATTGTTCCTCTTATGAGAAAGTTGCCCATATATATAATTGTGTGACTATTCTGGGTGATGTGAACCTTATTTTTTGAGTTCTCTTTTGCTAGGCTGCTGCCCTTTTACCTGAATTATGAATATGTGTTTGAAGCATTGCAAGTACTTTTACTATGTTTCATTCCTTGTTGTATGTATGTCAGTAGAAAAGTGGGTATTGGGCCAGCTTTGGAAATGAAATGCCACTTAGAGTATTCTATGGGGGAAATACAGTTTCATGAAGAAATGGGCTTTTGTAACACATCTTATTTTAAAATTAGGAACTTATTATAAAACTATTAAAGAAGTTGTTTGGAAAAGTAACTCTATTTTACTCCTTTTGTGGTTATCAGGAGTATAGTGTTGATGCTATTTACCTAAGTCTATGCCCTTAACAATCAACTGGTCCATTTTACATCCTAATCGGCCTCATTTTTTTTCTTAAGAATTTGGCATTTTACATTTCTGATTATCTCTTTTGGGTTGTGTAGTTGGGTGGGTAATTAGAGTGTGCAAATTATGGAACTCGAGTACATCATGCTTCTGATAAGGGTCGTAGGAAAATGTAAATATGACACAAGAACTTTTTAAAGCAACCACTTAGTCCCAGAGAAGTAGAGGGTTGCCTGTGAGCTGGAAAAGAGGTTACAGTCAGTGATAATGCAGCAAAGTGCAGCACTGCATCCTGATAAGGTCTCTAGTTGATTTCTCATCTTGTGCTCTACTCAGCCTTTATCTTAGAATGATTCTTCTTGACTTCCAACTTTCCTTCTTTGTGTTTAAGTGCTGTTTGAAGCCAGCAGATATTTTCCTATTACAATTAGACTGTGTCTTGACAACTCTAAAATAATAAAATGTGAACTATTCCAGGCATATGCTATTTGAAATATTACAAGTTATTTAAGGGACTAATCACAGTGAATTTTGCAGTAAAATAAACACTTAAAAATTTATTAAAAATCATAGTAATTCTACAGATTTTGTCTATTTCATATGGGAAGATTAAAATGAATTTCTATAGAAATGTAAAAAGAAATCAATAGACTAATAAACTTTTTTTGACTTACCTAGATTTTTGACTGCCTTATATTATTTATACCTGGCTTTAACCATTTGTCTTGTCTTAGTATTAATGCAGCCTATCATGGTGTTACTAACTTATGAGCCATTCTGATTTCATGAGAAATGAGTTCACGATTGTGTCTTCAGATAAACTTTTCTTTTTTTTTTTTTTTTGGCCTGGGTTTTGTGATGGGAGAAAGGATACTTTCCTCCTTATACCTAAAGATTATGTGTGCAACATAGATGTATATATTCTACCTTAAAAGGAAAAAAAAAATTGAACCCTTCTTCTA